ATGTAACTACAAATAAATATATAAACAGAAGTGTACATACACAGGGATAAGGAGAGAGAGAATGAGATTCAAATGACACATCACACACCATATCTTTGAATTTTCCACCTTTCCTGGCAGAGTGTTTCTTTGATTCAGGTTCCTAAGCAGCACTTCTCCCCTGGCCTGACAGGTAAGTGGGGAATCCTGCATGGTACCTGCATAAGCATTTACTTTGTCTTACAACTCGTGTCTTCTGCAAGAAAGAGTCACACCAGGGTGTGAGACCAGAACTCAAGGACAGGTTTGCTGCTCAGGAGCTACAGGAAAAAAAACTGACAAGCTTAATGATGGGAAGGTTTGTTAACCCCTTTGGAGAGCTATAGCAAGTGAAAAAAAGCAACCCAGAGTGCTTGTCTAGGAAAAGCAGGGCAATAGCGGTGTAGAATAACTCTCTGATGCCCCACAGAAGTGTATTTTTTGGACCAGGCAGGATACCTGTCAGAACCTGGACAAATTAAAAAGGAACTGCTCTGTTAGAGGCACCTGCGAACCGGCCACTGGAAAGGTGGCCATAACCAATCAATAAACACTCACCAGTTTTATTATCACATGACAGCATGGTTTACCCTGACAGACTTCACAGATGAGCCCCTCCGTAAGCTCAGGTACACAGACGGATTTCTCCCCAGAGCAGCAGAGACCCAACAGGTCTGCGTCGCCATCACCGCCACAGACCAGCACGGGGCCTGACCTTCACGTGGGACGGGCACCCACACTCCCAGCTAAAGCAGGCGGCACAAACCACTTCACTGGGGGCACATCAGATGCTTATTTCTACACATGGGAGAGACACAAGTGCTTTCTGGAGTGGCTGTGTACATACACATTCCTACTGGTCCCAGGCTATGACATATTAAAGCAGTAAGTGAGAACATATGCACCAATGAAATGCACCACTGCTGCTGGAAGAAGATAAAATGGAAAGCTGTGCAGTGCTTGGCTGAGTGAGGCTGACTAATGACTCTAATGTTAGTGGCTGCTGATCAAGAAATCAAACACAGAACAGTCCATCATAATCACGGCAGGTGAGAGAAGATGAGCCAGAGCCAGAGCTCAGGATAACAGAGATCTTCCTTGCTGTTCCCAAACCCAATAGTATCTTCTGCGTACAGAAAAAAAAACCCAGCTTGTTTCAATACACAGTCAAATTCATTAGAAACCCTCTGAAATAGGATCCTTTGTTACACAGTTTGTTGCCAGACGATAAGGACATTTTTGGGCAGTGTGTTCTCAGGAACACAAATGGAAAATGGCGTGATGGACACAGCGTGTCAAAATAACAATCCTCATTTAAATCTTCACGTTAGAGACATCTTACATCTCAAATGTCAAACATGCAAAATGGATTGCCTGCAGAAGCCGATTTGGGGAACATCAATTGTTCTGAATTTCAGAGTATTAACACAGGAAAAAAAAAAAAAGAACCAACTTTAAACTGTATCAGAAATCTTTACAAAATCTGACACTTTGTTCTTGCTCTTTCTTTACCTTTGTCTGCACTTCAAGGCCACATCCCCTTTGTCACTTGGACCACAACAGGCAATCTGACATTTTATGGTGTGCACTGGACATGACTGCTGATGCGGTGCCCCACCGACTCAAGGGACAGTTCCTGCTCCTTCCCAGCAAGGCTCTGGGTAGGATCACACCACTGTTAGTGCTCAAGAAAGCAAAGGATCAGGCTTCAAATAGAACACTTCCGAGAAAAGAAGTAAGCACATCTGTTGTATAATCCCAGAAGAAAATAGGAATTGGACTCTACTTTCTAAATGTCTCACCCAATTCTGCAGATCGATGATATTTATTCATACAATGCAAACATCAGAAACGCCCGGGCTCTGATCCTCACTGATACCAGGGTACGCATTTTTTTTTAACACTGAAAATCTTTAATCCCTTTGGAGATCTGGGAGGAAGTATTCAGCAACACCAGCCACAAAACCAGTCATGGGGTTATTAGTTATTAGCCTTTTCTCTTACAAAACACAGAGAGACGCACAACAAACCCACTATTTGCTGAAGGCAGTGTCAAAGGAAGCCTCAAGAAGGACGGTGTCAGCAAAGACGAAATGAACTTGCAGTTTTCATGCTCATGAACAGTCCTGCAGTCTTAGGGATGCACTGAACAGACACATGGATCCACACACCATCGATGTGGACCAGTCTGCATGCCTGGCAAACTGGACTGAAACAGATACCACGTTTGCACTACATGGTTTGGAAAGCGGGTTACAAAACCAAAATCTGTAGCAAACCAACAGATGTTTGCTTGCACTACATGGTTTGGAAATCTGTAGCAAACCAACAGATGTTTGAAAAAGTTTGCTCACTAGTCCGACTTCCCCTTCCTTTTGAAAATATACCTTAAATTTACTAGAGCTACTACGTTCCCATCATGGGTGCTTTCAAGTCTCAATTCCAAGTACAGACTTCCTGATCCTTTCCATCAATAAC